TTCGCGATCTGGAAGGCAGCGGAATTGATAAAAAAAATCTGGATGCTGAGTTCGTTGAACCGGTGACTATCTTTGTGAATAGTCAAGCGGCTCTTAAAGCCATCAAATCTTGTCACATCAAATCCAAAGCCGCCCTCAAGTGTAGAGCAGCTCTGGAAGAACTTAACCATAGCTATCGGTTGTGTTGGGTACCAGGCCATTGTGACATCTTGGGTAATGAAAGAGCGGACGAACTAGCTAGACGAGGATCTCAATCCACCGATCTAGAAACTTATGACTCAATCGAACCACCCATATGTCTTTTCTATAGGAACTTTGAGGCATTCTTTGACGAAACAGCCTGCGAACTTTGGTACAACGAACCTAGGTGCAACGTGTCAAGATCAATTTGGCCGACTCTGTCTACCAAAAGAACGCACTCACTATTGAACCTGAGCAAAGCTGAAATTAGAGTGATGACGGGAATCATCACTGGTCACTGCAACATCAGGGCTTTTACTAGTAAATGGGATCTTGATGCAACTGATTACTGTAGACTCTGTGTTGACGAGGAGGAGACGGAGACAATTGAGCATCTCCTGTGTCATTGCCCAGCCCTGCTTATAAGCGACACAGACTAATGGGTTCTCATTTTCTACCGAATCTCAGCTTCTTCTCAACAACCGAACCTGCTCTAATCTACAGCATAATTAGAAACATAAAGTGGTTAGGAGCATACAACCTTGGCACGTAACGCTTTTTCTGTCTGACTCATAGGGTCATCGACCTTCATTCATTCTTCACTCCTTTAATTTACTAATCTTCTCTCCCCTATAGATCTGTCTTTGGTCTCTTCTCTTCGCTGTATCTCTTCTTGTGGATGATCACAACGGACCTAACCGGTCTCAGAGTGTTGTAGTCACACATGTGACTGCACATCCCCAAACCTAACCTACACCAAGAATTGTTACAAAATTAGGTTTCTCGCTTCATCTCCAGCGCACAATGGCCACGAAAATCTCCGGATACCAATCCGTTGGACTATTGTGTCTGGAGTATTTTGGAAAGCAAGGTTGGCACTAAAAATACCAAAGTATCGATCACTTCAAGCAAGCGCTTCGCCGGGAATGGACAAAAATACCGCGTGTGACGGTTTCATTGGCCGTTTGAAAGCCATAATTCATGCCAAAGGTAACCAATTCGAAGAAATCTAAAATTGTATGCTATTTCCAACATTTGTGCTTTTATTAAAATTAAAAAAAAAGTAAAAAAGTTGTAGTTTTATATCACCCTGTATAATTGATGAACGGGAATACAATAGGTTCCACTGAAGTCATAAGAAGAGACCCTGTTACAGTTCTCAGGGCAGCATTCTGGCAGGTCTGGATATTCTTCAACTGCGTATCACTTACATTCGCGACTTAAGAACCTTGTGAACCTTATGCTTATCGCATAAAGCAGTGGCAAGCGCGGACGACTTGAAAAGGATTTCTAAACTTACCCCCAGTATGTTGGGGTAGTTAGTTGTCGGAATCAATTTTCCATCCACCACCACCATCCACTGAATATAATAGTGGAAGCTTTATTTCAGCTGTCCATGTGATTTCGTGGCGGATATTTTCATATTCCTCAGATGGAAGTATTACGAGATCAGTTATGTAGAAGTTTAACCTCTCGCAAATGTCATCAATAATGGGATTCGGCGCCATAATCGTACAATCATCCGCATACATTACGATCTCTATGCCGAACGGTAATTGTGAAATATCAGAGAGATGGAGGAGATATGACCCCTATACGGCTGGCATCCCTACATATAGCTGATTATCCAACGTTCGGAGATTTCTCTGCTCTATGTCCTCGAACAACTTGGCATGGTTCACGGTATCGAAGGCCTTCGATAGGTCAAGTGCCACCATAACTGATCGGTTGCACGGCCTGTTCTGGTTAAGTCCTCTGCTAATATGTGTGATAATGGCGTTTAATGCTGTTGTTGTGCTGTGCATCTTACGGAATCCATGTTGATATTGGGCAACTGGAAAACTGCCTCTCTACTATGGGACATCTGCAACGTCCTCCTTCGTAAATTGTGGCGGTACCACCTTGGCTAGCCTTACCCACGTCTTTTTGGTCCTTGTTCATTAGGTTGAAGCATCAGCCAGCACAGGTAACAAGCCTTCCAGATCTCTGGGACTACTTGCTCACGTTGGAGCTTCTTAAATCTTCTCAAGGTAGCTCTGAAGGTCCGGTTCTGCTGAGTAAGATGGGCAATGAATTGCTGGCAGAATTTGTTTGCACATTTTTGGTATCAGTTTGTTGGATATCCTCAAAATGTTATTGCTATATTACATGTTTTGTTATTTATTCCAGAAAGACTTTTTATGGTAGACCACGACGGTGCTGGTTGATAAGAAAGTTAACTTCTTCCTTGGAGCTGCCGTGGGATAACCTGGTCTAAGTTTGGGATGTCGCTTGGCTGCCAGAGTGATGATGTCCCTCAATATTCTCTCTCCCTTTCTGGCACATGAGGGTGGCTGCTGTTGACTGATTGCATTGTCAACATCATTTGTAATTTCCACAATTTTGTTTCGAAGACCATTACAGTTTAACTGCAATATCTTAAAATTTTGGAGATCATCAATCCATTCTGTTGTTGCTGCATGTTTCTTACGGGTGTGCTCTAATTAGTTAGTGGCATTGACACAACAGAAGCTCTGGAAGGTGTGCTTGAGCTACGTCCTGATGCTTTGAGCGCTTTGAGGACTGGACGCTGTTGTGGATGTCGACACTGATGTTACGAAACACAAAGGACTGCTTAATGTGGAGTTAGTCGCTGAAGTTCAGGTGCTTTGGTTGGAGTTGGAACAACAATCTGCTACAAATTGGGTTGTCTATGCGACCGCAAGTTTGTGCAGCGTCTCATGTGACACCAGTTATTGCATCTGTTGCACCGGAAAGATGTAGTATTTCTCCTGATAATTTCGTTGCAGACCAAATGTTGGGTGTTGCAGCGGCGTTACTGGAGGATGGAAGTTGAGCAGCTGCAGGCGAAGAATTTTTGGATGCACAGCAGCTCGTCACAAAGTTATTTGACCGGTCTCTGTGACTAGCCAATCTAGAGCAATGTCTTAGGTGACACCATCTAAGACATAGGTTGCATTGCACCTAGTCAAGACTGCGCGTGATCCGAGTGTGACACACTGAACAGAACGAGATTTCGGTGGAAGTGGAGCCCGGGTTCTGCTCGATGCCAGCCATTATTAATAGGATATTGAGCAAATCGGCTGACATGGTTTGTTCACCTGGGCGAAAAACAGATGGCTTGAACAGCTGTCGCTGAATGGACAATCCGTGACAATGAAAGGCCACATGCTTCTGGACTATAAGTGCTGTCTTGAAGGTATTCGAGATGTCATTTCATCGTCAAATTAATTCAACGAAAATTAAAAGAATTTTTAATTTTTTTCAAACAGGAAAGAACTTTCAATCTTAACCAAAAAGTTTCCAACAAATATCCATGCAAATATGATTTTTTATACAGGTAAATTGTATGAATTAAAACATCAATTAAATACATTTTTATACATTTGATGTATTTATTAAGTAAATTTATTATTGAAGACAACAGTTAAATATAGAAGATTCTATTCTTGTATGACAAGTAGGATACATCATTATCTTCATATCTAGGCAATTTATTTAAAGAAACTTTTGTTCTTGTTTTTATTTTTCTTAATAGAGAACATTTTGTAAAATTTAAAAAATAAATTAAAATTGTACTAAATTTGTTTAATATAAAAATGAAAAAGTTTTTAAAATATACACCAGTTATGTTAAAAAAATTAAAGAAAAAATACAAATAAATTATGATTGAATGTGAAAACAATAAAAAAACAAACATTTTATGTGAAACACATTTTTAAAATTGATGCTTTACAAATTAACGTGATGTCTTTTTTCAAAATAAATTCAAATTAAGCCTAGAAAGTTTTTACAATTTATGCGTTTCTCTTTTGTTTTTATTTTTTTTTTAATTTCTGTCAAAGTGTTTTGTTTTTTTATTTTTATAATCTAATCCTTGAGATGTTTACATGCACAATTTGCCAATGAACACGATATTTTTTGTGTAGATAATTGATAATTTGAAATATTTTGTTCAATTATATAATCTAAAAGTGTGTGTATGTATGTTTGTGTTGTTTTATAGTTTAAATTTTAAACCACATATTGTCTCCTAGCCACATAAAACAAAATTTTAAACATTTAAAATTAAAATCTAGTTTTTGAAATCAAAAAATCAGAAAACCCATAAAATTTATTTAACTTTTGATCTAAATCCTTTCGATACGAGTGGTGCAACTTCGGACGGATCTCTGCCACGTGTTTCGGGTAAATAGAATTTCGTTAGCAGAAATAGCAGTGCACAGGTGACGGAAAACGGCAAGAATACGAATGCACCCCAGGCAATTTATTTAAATAAATTGTACTAAATTTGTTTAATATAAAAATGAAAAAGTTTTTAAAATATACACCAGTTATGTTAAAAAAATTAAACAAAAAATACAAATAAATTATGATTGAATGTGAAAACAATAAAAAAACAAACATTTTATGTGAAACACATTTTTAAAATTGATGCTTTACAAATTAACGTGATGTCTTTTTTCAAAATAAATTCAAATTAAGCCTAGAAAGTTTTTACAATTTATGCGTTTCTCTTTTGTTTTTATTTTTTTTTTTAATTTCTGTCAAAGTGTTTTGTTTTTTTATTTTTATAATCTAATCCTTGAGATGTTTACATGCACAATTTGCCAATGAACACGATATTTTTTGTGTAGATAATTGATAATTTGAAATATTTTGTTCAATTATATAATCTAAAAGTGTGTGTATGTATGTTTGTGTTGTTTTATAGTTTAAATTTTAAACCACATATTGTCTCCTAGCCACATAAAACAAAATTTTAAACATTTAAAATTAAAATCTAGTTTTTGAAATCAAAAAATCAGAAAACCCATAAAATTTATTTAACTTTTGATCTAAATCCTTTCGATACGAGTGGTGCAACTTCGGACGGATCTCTGCCACGTGTTTCGGGTAAATAGAATTTCGTTAGCAGAAATAGCAGTGCACAGGTGACGGAAAACGGCAAGAATACGAATGCACCCCAGGCATTTTGTAACGATGGAAAGGCCATACCAATGATGAAATTACACGCCCACGAAGATAAGCTACCCATGGACATGGCAACGGAACGTGGTGCCACTTCGAACAGTTCTAAAAAAATACAGAAACATTAAAAATGCATTAAGAAAACGACGTTTGCAAGCAGTATTTGTCAACAGAATGTGTCAATTATGATAATGGAGATGTTTGCTTAAGAATAATGGGAAATATAAAAATGCCAATAAAAGAGGCGATAAAAAGGAAATCATTTAGATTCTCTAACGACAGAGAAAAAACCAAAAAATAAAAATTCAACATATGTACTTGATAGTCCTTTAAAACATTATTATTATCTTTTTATATACTTCACCACATTGTGGTACACGGTATTATGTCTTTGTGCATATGTTTCAGGCAAAAAGAATCGAGATAGACCCATGGTTCCTTTTGAGAATATGCATAGTATCTCTTTCTGAGTCGATTTATGCATGTCCGTCTGCCCGTCCGTCTATGTATTTTTGTGAACAAAGTACAGTTCGCATTTATGATCCGATTTGAATAAAATTTGACACATGTCACTTATTTGGCCCAAGGACAAACCCTAGTGGAATCGGATAAATTTGGTTCAGATTTAGATATAGCTCCCAAATATAGTTTCGTCCGATTTTATGTAAATGAAGCACCATACTGCTAATAAGGCAACTTTTCGTCGGATTTTATGTATCGCAGTTGAATATTATCGACCTCTCCGTCAATTCGTGCCCAATAAGAATTGAGCCAGCTACACCATTCTGATCTTTTTTTTCGACGTTCCCACGCCTCTCATTCCCACCCCTGCCGACCGAGGGGGCGACCTCCTCTTACGTAGGGATCGCGTACACACCATGATCCGAATCATGATGGGATTTGAGAGTGGAATAGAAAAACAAGCAACAGAATCTACTTCAATAGCCAGTTTGTTATTAAGTTTTACAACTCATTTAAAAATCTTAATTGTGCCAAAACCACTCTGGTTTGTCGAGGTAGCTGCTACTTTTCTGCAGCTATCGTAGGCAGGTGACCTCCGAGGATTGCTTCCTCAACAGCATCCGTGTGAATATGAATCAATCCTGCTTGAAAAGCCTGTTGATCTAGCGGCTCCCTTTTGTACATTTGAACTTCTCTCTCCAGATCATGAAGATCCTTCTTGACATGCCTAGGTGTTGGGTGTATATCCATTAGGTAACGATTTGAATGGCTACTTCTATAACACACAATCAGGTATTGCATCGACAACATCTTGTTGTGTTGACGCACTGGAAAGATCTTCGTCTCCTCATGTAAGTGGTCTATTGGAGTCATGAGGAGACACACAGTTGCAGTCCTCAGGGCGGCATTCTGGCAGGCTTGAAAAATTTTTCACTGCTTTGAATTTTTTCACTGCTTAGCGGACCACACTGGTGTCGCATAGTTTACCACAGACCGGCCTATTGCTGTGTATGTCGTTAACATGGTTTCTTTGACAGCTCCCAAAGTGCTGCTGGCTAGCGACTTGAGAACCTTGTTTCTGTTCCTGATCTTATCGCAAATAGCTGTGGCATGCGCGGACTATAAAGACTATCGAATGTGACCCCTAGAACCTTGGGGTAATTAGTGGTCGGAATTGTGGACCCATCGACCTGCACATTCAAAGATAGCCGCATCTCCGCTGTCCATGCGGTAAACAATGTGACCGTTGAAGTCCATGCGGTAAACAATGTGACCTTGGGGAACTCCCTGTAGCTTTCACGAATGCTAGGGAGTAGTAAAGGCCCAAGTGTCGTAGCTACTGGCGACAAAAGTGAGATCGGCCTGTATGACACACCTTTGCTGGCATCCTTGCCTGGCTTTATAAAATACTATAATAATACTTAATATAATCCCCGAAACATAAGCTAATATTGATAGTTTTTCGTAGTTAGATCATAGAAGACCAAGAAATATTTTCAGATATGGGCTAGAGGTATTCTAATAGATCGTCAAAGTTCTTTTTATAAAATACCAAATGAGAGAGTTCTTGAATTTTTTTCCGTGACGCTATACAAACACTTGCCCAGCATCTGGATTAGAACCGCACGACTCGTTGCATCTATTCAACCGTCCAGCTAAACCTTTGCTTCTCTGTCTCCGAATTCTCTGTGGATGCAGAGGACGCCATTCTGTCTTACTATAAGAAATTTTTCTGTTGTAACATAACCTTCTGACTTTCTATAAGAATTGTTTGGTGCTACCTTCTTTTCTTTAATTAGACGAATATTCTGATCTTCCATATGAAGACATTCTATATGAAGTCCTTATGATTATCCAAAAAGAAACTTATCGACCTCGAGCCTACATAACTTCTTTTAGCATTCTAGAAGAATACCTTAAATTCTTTTATGAGAATACCTTCTGGTTATATATGACAAGATATCCTTCTATAAAAAACACTCCGACCTTGTATAAAAATCCTATTTGACCTGTTTTGTGGTATAAAAAGCACACCTTTTATCTTCTATAGGAAAACTTCGTGGTCCATTACAAGGAGCCTTCTTTATAGGCGATCTAGAAGAACCCTTGTAATGGACCACGTCTTGGTCGCCTATAAGAAAACCACTTGGTCTTCTATATGAAAACCAATTAGCCACTAAGAGAAGACCTCATGGGTTTTTATTAAAAGACCGTTATATTGAGAAAACCTTAAGTTTTCTATAAGAAGATTTATTGGGGATTTATTAAATTCCCTGTGGTATGATATCCTTTAAAAAAATTACGCCTATATTTCAATTCATTCATTATAAAAATATGAAATTTAAAGTATCAAAAGACTCATTTTAGCCTATTCGTGAAATAACTAAAATTCGTGAAATAACTAAAATGCGCAATCAAATGAAAATTTATTTGACTGTACTTTTTTCTGACAAACCCAAAGGCGGCTCCTCATGCCACACCATTTTTAATTAAATTGAGTTACTGCGTCTCTTGTTTTGGGTCAATCAAGTTTTCACACGAACATGTGATCCTACTCTTTTGATAAATCTGAACTAATAAATAAATAAAAAAAACGTCATGTTCTCTTTTCAATTGGACTTCAAACATTTGATGCTCGTGTACAATGACCCCAATTTGTGCGATCTAATAATAGCTATTGATATAAAAGGCGCAAAAAATACAAATTACAACTCTGCCTCGAAATCAGTAACCTTAACCTTGAAACAATTTCCTTAAGTGAATCAAAGCAATTAGCAATTGTGCGTTCGTTCTCACAATCCAAAGCAAACGACGAGCCATAACGCCTCCAATACATTTTCCCCACACACATATCAAATTTCTGAATGCATTTCAATTGTCTGTCCATCCGTCCGTCCAGCTCAGAACAATCAATTCCATTACGAATACAATTGAAATTGACACATAAACACTTGCTGCTGCTGGGTTGGTTGGTCAGCAGTAGCGCCAGCCGGCCGACCAGCCAGCCAGACACATGATTTTAAAACGAGAATAAGCAAAGAAGTGCAGACATGAACAAAAAACGAAGCACGTGAATGAATAAAATTTATGACTTTTGTATAAACAAATATAAAAAATTATTAATTGAATTGTGATGATGTCGTAGCGGCGAGTATGGTGGCGTAGCTATAATATTTTGTTTACAAAACGATGTTGTTGTAGCAGTTTGTATGAATTGCATGTTTTCTGTTATGTTTCCTCCAGTTCTGTCTCCAGATTCAGAAATGCAGCTACCTCCACTGGCTGTAACCACAGATCTTCCGGAGTGAGGTGAGTAGGTTTGGCTGGGCAATTGAACAAGTGCAGTGTGGTATGAGGGCCTGTACCACATGCTGGGCAGACATCCTGCACCTGGTCATCAATCCGTGCCCAATACGAATTGAGCCGACTGCACCATCCAGAACGTAACTGAGCCAAAACTACTCTGGTTTGTCTAGGCAGCTGACGTTCTTCAGCTGCTATGGGTGGGGGGTGAGCTCCGAGGACGGCATTCACTTTGTAACCGTTCAGCGCTGCGGCTACTGCATCTGTATGAATGCCATTCAGACCTGCTCGATAGGCAACTTGATCTAGAGGCTCCCTTTTATAACATTGAACCTCTCTCTCTCTCTCTAGATCATGCAGATCCTTCCTGACACGCCTGGGTGGGGGAGTCCTATCCACCATATGATGGTTGGGATGATCGTCCCTGAAACACCCGAGCAGGTACTGCAACGAAAGCATATTGCTATGCTGACGTACGGGAAGGATCTTCGTCTCCTCATGAAGATGGTCCACTGGTGTCATGAGGAGGCACCCTGTCGCTGTCCTCAGGGCGGCATTCTGACAGGTCTGAATATTTCTCCATTGCGTATCACTAGAATTCGCAGACCACACTGGAACCGCATAGCTAGCCACAGACCGACCTATCGCTTTGTAAGAGGTCAACAAGGTTTCCTTATCTGCGCCCCAAGTGCTGCCGGCAAGCGACTTGAGGACCTTGTTCCTACTTTTCAGCTTATCGCAGATAGCTGTGGTTTGCGCGGACGATTTAAACATGCTGTCGAATGTGACCCCAAGTATTTTGGGGTAGTTGGTGGTCGGAATTGTATGCCCCTCGACCTGCACATTCAACGGCATTCTCATCTCCGCAGTCCATGTGGTGAATAGTGTGGCTGACGACTTCGAGGCGGATATTTTCATATTCCTCGCTTTGAAGAAAGCTGCCAAATCGATGAGATAGGCGTTCAACCTCACACGTATGTCTTCAACAATGGGACCCGACGCCATAATCGTACAATCATCTGCATACGTGACGATTTCAATGCCGTCCGGAGGGCGTGGAATACCGGAAAGGTAGAGGTTAAACAGTTCCGGAGAAATCACTCCACCCTGAGGAACTCCCTGTTTAACTCTACGGGGTTTGGACTTCTTGTTCCGGAACTCCACGTACGACTGGCGTCCACACATATAGTTGATTATCCAACGTTTCAAACTCGGCCGGAGGGAAGTGTTCTCTATGTCCTCAAACAGCGTGGCATGGTTGACAGTATCAAAGGCTTTTGATAGGTCAAGCGCTACCAACACTGTTCTATCGCACGGCCGGTTCTGGTTAAGTCCTCTACTTATATGCGTGGAAATGGCGTGCAACGCTGTTGTTGTACTGTGTTGCTTACGGAATCCATGTTGATGATCCGCAACTGGATAGCTTTCTCTAATGCTGGGGAGGAGTAACGCCTCAAGAGTCTTCGCTACTGGCGACAAAAGTGAAATCGGCCTGTACGATTCACCTTTGCTGGCATCCTTGCCCGGCTTCAGTAGCGGGACCACCCTGCCCATAGTCCAGGGTTCGGGGACGACGTGGGTGGCTATCGACAAGTTGAGGACGTTGGTCAAGTATTCGACTCCTGGCTCGTCCAGCTGCTTCAGCATACACATGGATATTCCATCTGGGCCCAACGCTTTTGATGACTTCGCGTTACGGATGACACATGCAACATCACCCATTGTAAACTGTGGTGGTACCTCCTCGGCTGGAAGAGATCTTATACGACGAAGTACTCTTCTCTTCGCCTTGTCGCTCTCGGGATGCTCGACGAACTGTCGGTTAAAATAACTTGCGCACCTCTTCGGATCAGTCACAGTTTCGTCGTTAAATGTGACTGAGGTCCTATCATCCTTCTTACCAGGGTTCGAGAGCGACTTAACCGTTGCCCACAGTTTACTTACTCCGGTACCAATGTTGCAACTCTTCAGGTGCTCCAACCATTTATTCCGCTTGTGCTCCGCGACTAATCTGCTGACCTCCAACGTAAGTTCCCTGACCCTGGGATCTGTTGGGTTAGATCGACGGAGCTCATCACGCTCATTTGCCAGAACAACTGCTTCTGCTGGGAAATTGGGTCTCATCTCGGGTATTCGACCAGCAGGTATAAATCTAGCAGCTGCAGCAGTGATGATGCCTCGGAATTTCCTTTCTGCTACCCGTACATCAGAAGGAATGGAAAGTTCTCTGAAGCGTTGGTTGGTGAACTCTCTGAATCCTTGCCAGTTGGCTTTCCTATGGTTAAGGAAAGTGCGGCGTTCAGAGATGACGAAATCGGGCGGTCTGCTGATGGAGACGATTATGGGGAGATGGTCTGATCCAAGAGAAATGACGGGCTGCCAGCTGACGTCATTTATCAGACCCGGTGACACGATGGTTATATCCGGCGAACTGTGACACTCTCCCCTTATTCTTGTGGGGGCATCCTCATTTACCGTGCAGAACGTGGAGCTATCAATTTGCTCTGCCAGCACTGTTCCCCTCTGGTCATTACCTAGGACGGAATGCCACAACTCGTGGTGGGCATTGAAGTCCCCTAGCACCAGACGGTTATTGCCCTCCAATAGTAAACTAATGTTGGGCGAATAACGCGGTTCACAGGTATTAATCGGCGGTATATACACGTTAAGCACCTCTACCTCGGCAGTACCACATTTAACTGCTACCCCCATACATTCCATGTATGGGTCACTAGAGTCAAGCTCAAGCGAGATAGGCCTGTATTGAACAGAGTGGTGCATAAGGAATGCTAGGCCTCCACCTCCACTTCTGGTGCGATCCTTCCTCAGAACGTTGTAACCATCACAACGCTGTAGGCTACAATTTTCATTGAGCTTGGTTTCCTGCACCGCCGCGACCAAAATATTCTTCCGATTCATGAAATCCACTATCTCATCTATTTTTCCTCGAAGACCGTTGCAATTAAATTGCAGAAACGATGCACTATCAGGGGTGGGAACAGCAACGTGCGGTGTTAAGTGCTGCGTACTTGGTTGCTGTTCGGGAGACTGCGGTGGAGTTCCGTACTCCGACGAAGAAGACGACGACGTAGACGAAGACTCACTGGGGACTGCGCTGTCGCAGCACGAGGCAACGTAATCCCTATCGCTGTAGTCTCGCAACCGGGCCAACCCGGAACAATTCCTGAAGTGCACCCACTCCCTGCACCCATTACATCTCACCGACACTGACCTGTGGTGAATGATGTTCTGGCAAACCGAACAGAACCACGGTCCGGGGTTTTGTTCGATCCCGGCACGGACCAAAAGAATCCGGAGCAAGCATTCCGGGATATGTTGCTCCCAAAACAGAAAAACAATACAAACATATATAACTGGGTTGGCAGCCGCTGGCCGAAATAAATCGGGTCAATCCGGTGTCGTAGAACCCGCTGCCTTGGGATTGACAAAACGATGTTGTCATCGTTGCCTCCACAACAAGAAAAAAAATTGAAATATGGCAAAGAAAGAGTTGAGCTTGTCGATATGTATTGGTTGCAAAAAAAATTAACCAGAAGGTGATTGGGTTAAATAAACAAATTGCATTAAAAGAAATTATCACGCTGGTAAAGAAGGGCGAGGGGAATCTATTTCATTGTTGTAACATAAGGAATGATTAATAATTGGTCAATATTAATTGCAGAATGTATGTAAACAATAATAAACAAATCAAAGTACAGCAGGACCGAACAATTTGATACCCTAATAACACATATATGAAGATATGACCTAAATTATTCTCATAGAAAGTCAGAAGAGATTTGCTTATAGAAGACCAAGAGGGTTTCTTGTTTCTAGCAGATAAAAGGTCTACTTATTGTATGCCAAAATAGGCTAGGCTAGATAGTATTATCATATAAGGCCAGATTGTCTTTTTATAGAAGCAGGTCTTCTCATAGAAAAGCAGAAAAATAGAAATAAAAGAAAAGAAGAAAGGACCCAATTATTGTGATTATTTCTTATTGAAGGGCATCCTCTGCATCCACAGACAATATGGCAACTGGGAGTTTGCTGGACAATTTTTGTTATTTTAAAAATAAATAGAACTTAAAAATCCGTAAAGAAAACATGGGTTTTTCTAACATTTGAACAGGACGCTTTTTTTAAACAAAATCTAATATGAAATTGTATTTAGAGGAAACCACCTTCGACCTTCCACCTGAGCACTGAAATCTATGAATCAAATCGAAATCTAAAAAAAAAAAAAAAACAATAAAACTACTTGAAATATAGAATTCACATCAAAGTAGTAGGAAACATTCAAATCAAAGAATTTCAATCAGCACTCATGAAAGATGAAAAGAAAAGAAATGAGTGAAGAATAATAATTTAATTTTCTTACAATTTGCCATGCCAACGATGGCCTTATAAACATTTGAAATTACAACAACTTACCAGTGCCAATAAAATACGGTATCGGTCCCAAACCAAATTGATAGAAGAATATATAGCCCATAATGCAGACAATGCAAACCATTGGGAACCAACTGGCCTTTTCCTATAAATAGATAGATAGACAAAAACAACAATAATAAACATAATTACATTATAAATCAATAAATATCAAATTCGACTCACAATATAGTAAAGAATAAAAGCTATGGTGAATAGAAAACCGGCACAAATCGAACTGGAGAACATCATTAGTGGACGACGATTAACACGGGCCATTAACAGGGGACCCAGGAAAGATGTAGCTAAATTAAGGCAGCCAGCACCTGAAAACAAAGGAAAAATAATTAGTTAAAAATGAAATTGAAAATATGAACAACAAGAAGAATACACAATGAAGAACAAAATTTTGTCTCCAGAGGTCATTCCATATGATGGTATTCTCAAAGACTAAGAAGTCTTTGCATATAAGACCAAGAGATCTTTCCGTAAAAAAAGAGGGAGATGGTCCTTGAAAAAATATTCTTTAATAAATCTACGCCTGAGATGGTCCTTGAAAAAATATTCTTTAATAAATCCACGCCTGAGATGGTCCTTGAAAAAATATTCTTTAATAAATCCACGCGTGAGATGGTGCTTGAAGAAATATTCTTTAAAAAATCCACGCCTGAGATGGTCCCTGAAAAAATATTCTTTCATAAATCCACGCCTGAGATGGTCCCTGAAAAAATATTCTTTCATAAATCGACGCCTGAGATGGTCCCTGAAAAAATATTCTTTCATAAATCCACGCCTGAGATGGTGCTTGAAGAAATATTCTTTCATAAATCCACGCCTGAGATGGTCCCTGAAAAAATATTCTTTCATAAATCGACGCCTGAGATGGTCCCTGAAAAAATATTCTTTCATAAATCCACGCCTGAGATGGTCCCTGAAAATATATTCTTTCATAAATCCACGCCTGAGATGGTCCCTGAAAAAATATTCTTTCATAAATCCACGCCTGAGATGGTCCTTGAAAAAAATATTCTTTAATAAATCCACGCCTGAGATGGTCCTAGAAAAAATATTCTTTCATAAATCCACGCCTGAGATGGTCCTTAAAAATAATATTCTTTAATAAATCCACGCCTGAGATGGTCCTAGAAAAAATATTCTTTCATAAATCCACGCCTGAGATGCCCTTGAAAAAAATAATCTTTAATAAATCCATGCCTGAGATGGTCCTTGAAAAAATAATCTTTAATAAATACACGCCTGATATGGTCCTTGAAAAAATTATCTTTAATAAATCCACGCCTGATATGGTCCTTGAAAAAATATTCTTTAATAAATCCACGCCTGAGATGTTTTTTATACAATGTCTTACGATCTTCTTGTATAAGAACCGATGTTTTCTAAAAAAAGAAACCTTATATTATTTTTTTTAGAAAACTGTACGGAATTCATATCATATGGAAGACCAGAATGTCCTGGTATAGGAGATCAGAATCAAAACTATCCTAATTAAAGAAAAGAAGACATGACCTAAATTATTCATATAGAAATTTAGAAGAGATGTTCTTATAGAAGACCAAGAGGGCTTCATGTCTCTAGAAGATATAAGTTCTATTTATAGTACGCCAAATTAGGCTAGATAGGATTTTTAGCCAAGACAAGAGCGTATTTTTATAAAAGGAGGTCTTCTCATAAAGGAATAGAAGGTATTTTCCTAGAAGGGTAGAAGAAGGTATTCTCATAGAAAACCGGAAATATATTTTATACAATACAATATATATTCTTATACAAGGACCGATCAGAGCATCCTTGTATGAAAGACGAGAATCAGAACTTCGTCTAATTAAAGATTAAAAGACAGGACCAAATTATTCTTATAGAAATTCAGAAGGTTATGTTACAACAAAAAAAACTTTCTTATAGAAGGGCATAATGGAGTCTTCCCAACCACAGAGAATTTGGAGACAGAGAAGAGAATGTTTAGTTGGACAGTTGGATAGGTGCAGCGAGTCCTGAGGTTCTAGTGCACATACTGGGCTTGTGTTATGTATAGCGCCATGCCTGGGTGGGGGAAGCCTGTACTATGGTAGGGACGATAACACCCAAGTAGGTACTGTATCGACAACATTTGCTTGTTTCGATAGACGGGAAAGATTTTCGCCACCTCATGAAAATGTTGCACTGGTGTCATAAGGAAGTTCTCAGTGTGGCGTTCATGTAAATCTAAACGTTCATCGACTACGTATTAATTACATTCACATATGTCTTCCTTTGAAATATATTCT